CGGAAGCCCCGGCCGCGACCCCGGCGGCCGCCACTGTCCCCGCCGCCGCCGCCTCTCGCCACTGCCCCTGCGGCTCCCGCCCGCTCGCGGTCTCCGCCGGGCCGCTCACGGCCGGGCCGGCGGCCGCGGCCGCCCCGAGCTCCTCGCTCCGCCTGCATCTGGCCGCCGCGGAGACGCCTGGCCCCACCGGAAACGGGTGGCTTGGAGGAGCCGCGAGCGACGGGCCCCCGGTGGCGGCGAGCGCGGGGTGCGGGGCCGGGGATGGAAACCGGCCGCGGCGGGGGCGGGGCCCGGGGCCTGGCAGGTGGGGCCGGAACCGGGGCCGGAACCGGGGCCGGAACCGGGCCCGGGGAAGGCCGGGCTTCAGAGTCAAGGCCCGACTTGGGGGAGGGAAGTGGGGGAAACGGTCGGGCTGGGGCAGGGCCGGTGGCTTGAGGATGGGTTTTAAAGTAAACGGGTGGGTTCAACCGTTTGTATAACAGGAGCTCGTTTTTGCTAAGAAAAATACGAATATGAATGTATTTGCATTAAAAAAATCTAAAACGTATATACCAAAATGTAATCAGAGGTTAACTGTATGGTGAGACTCCCAGTGAGTTAATTTTTCCCTTTTTTGCCCATTTAATCTCCTGATTTTCAAGAATGCATGTGTGTGATTATTAAAATTATTCTGAATTCAGGGATCAGGAGGAGGTGCGGGCCCCAGGTGAGAGGTGTGGCCTACAGCAAGCAAGTGGGATAGCACAGGGCAAAAGTGGTAATGGACGGAAGGGCTCCCAAGTCCTGGAGAGAACTGTTGTAGAAATGACTAGTTTAGGGCGCCTGGGTGGCTCAGTCGGTTAAGCGACTGCCTTCGGCTCAGGTCATGATCCTGGAGTCCCGGGATCGAGTCCCGCGTCGGGCTCCCTGCTCGGCGGGGAGTCTGCTTCTCCCTCTGACCCTCCCCCCTCTCATGTGCTCTCTGTCTCTCTCATTCTCTCTGTCTCAAATAAATAAATAAAAATCTTAAAAAAAAAAAAAAAAAGAAATGACTACTTTAGCCCACACTTACTGAGCACGTGGGTGTTTAATTCTATCAGCCCTGTTAGGTAGGTGCTGCTGTCATCCTTACTTTGCAGATGAGAAGCAGCCCTAGAGGTTAAACAACTTGCCTTATGTGGTGAACCCGCATTTTAACTCAAGCGGGCTCACTCCAGTCTATTCTTGTGTGTGTGTGTGTGTGTGTCACTTATTTAGTAGAAGTTTTTGAAACTCATCATGATTTAATATTTTTTATTACTACGTAGTAGTCCCATTTTTTAGTCCAGTCTATTCTTTTAACCAGGGGGAAGAAGGGCAATTGGTTATATGGATACATGGAAGCCATCTTTAACTTTGTATTACAGAAACCACATAAAATAAAAAACAGGGGCTAAAATTCCCCTCATCCAATCAGCACAGCAAAGCAAGTGACTTTTCCCCCCTTCCCAGTCCTTTCTTATATCCATATATACTTAATACTATTCACTGCTTCTAATTGTCTACTCTGTGTTAGGCACACTGCTTAGTCCTGGAGATTTAAAAAAAAAAAAAAAAAAGCCACTCTCCCTGCCTTCAAGTAGCTCACTTCCCACTTTCCCTAAGGAGGATAACCTTGTACATAGATTATTGCACTAGTGTGCTGAGTGCAGTGAATGATTCAAGGTGAAGGCCCAAAGGAAGAAGAAAACCCATGCCTAATGAGTAGCCCAAGGCCTTGTGAGAAATAGACCCTTGAGCCAAGGCCTAATGGTTAAGCAGGAGTTTGCCTGGCTAATAAGTGGGATATGGTAGCTTTCTAGACAGGGAACCACTGAAGGATTATAAACTGGAGAGAAACAATCTTAAACATAGTGACTCAGGGGGCGCCTGGGTGGCTCAGTTGGTTGAGCGACTGCCTTCGGCTCAGGTCATGATCCTGGAGTCCCGGGATCGAGTCCCACATCAGGCTCCCTGCTCGGCGGGGAGTCTGCTTCTCCCTCTGACGCTCCTCCCTCTCATGCTCTCTGTATCTCATTCTCTCTGTCTCAAATAAATAAATAAAATCTTTAAAAAAAACATAGTGACTCAGAGCATGGTTCTGAGTACTTCCTATATAACACTTCATTTAAACCCCACAGCAGCCTTATGAGGTGATACTAGTTTCAGCTCTGTTTTACAGATGAAAGATCTAACAAAAGAACTTCCGTGATCACACAGCTAGGAAGTAATTGGATTGGAACCTTGGGCAGTCCGGCTTCAGAGTCTATGCTGTTAACCATTACACTCAGAAAAATCATTCTGTAGAGGAGAATTAGAATCCTAGGCAGAGCCATTAGGAAACTACTTAATAGCCCCAGCCACAAATGATTAGGGCCTAAATGAAGTTGAGAGCCCAAGAGGCAAATAATGGGAGAATTGATAGGACCTCATGACCAGTTAGTTGTAAGTGGGGTGGGCAGGTGGTGAGAAGTTAGATGTCATGCCCAGGTTTCTTGCTTGATGGTAGTTAATGATGCCACTAGTCAAGAGAGGGAATACAGTGTTGGGGGACATGTGTCAGGGAAGGTTGTCAGTGTAACTATTTTTTAACATTGTATATTGTTCTGTGTTACTTCATTGTCTTAATAATGAACATTTTTGTCAGTGGACACTATTAATTCTTGCACAGTACATCAAATTTTTCTTTTCCCTCTCCACTGATCCCCAGCCTTTCCCTTTGTTTTATTCCTCCACACCCTATTTTCCTCATTTTTTCCCCATGTCTATACTTGTCAAATTAAGACTGTCAGTAGCACCCAGGATTAAGTTATTCATCCCCATGCTCAACTTTCAAATGTAATAATCCACCTGTAGATAAACACTAAACAGGAAGATGAGAATAGTAACAACGAATGTATCATTTTCCCTGTGCACCATAAAGAAGCTAAGAGGAGATACAGACAGATGAGAAAGGCATTTTTAAGAACTCATTGGACAGGGTGCCTGGATGGCTGTCAGTTAAGCGTCTGCCTTTGACTCAGGTCACAATCCCAGGGTCCTAGGATGGAGTCCTGAGCTCCTTGCTCAGTGGGGAGTCTGCTTCTCCCTCTGCCCCTCCCCCCTGCTTGTGCATGCCCTCTCTCTCTCTTTCTCTCTCTCTCTCTCCCTCTTGTGCTCTCTCAAATAAAATATTAAAAAAAAATGCATTGGACAACCTGGAACTTCATCCCCTGTGTGGCCAGGAACCATAATATTTTGGTACATTATCTCTTCCTAATTCTACATTAAGTGACATAAAGTTGGTACTTGAAATGGGTCACAGTAGGAATTTTTACACCACAGAAATTGGCAAATTTTTGCAAATCAGGGCTTTGTTGGAGGTGAGGGTGGAACCAGTTGTAAAATATTTACCAGCATACCACCATAATTTGGGCTCTCACCATGATGAAGATCCACAGATTAATCTCACACCAGACAGCATAAATAAAGGTTTCAACCTTGGCCCATTTAGGGCTGGGTAATCTTTGTGGTGGTGGCTTGTCCTGTGCATTGTAGAATGTTTAACAGCATCCCTGGCCTCTATCTACTAGTTGCTACCCTCTAGCCACACCTCCTCCCCCCAGTTGTGACAACCAAAAATGTCTCCAGTTTTTGCCAAGTGTCCCCTAATGGGCAAAATCATCCTAGATGAGAACCACCAGCAAAAAGTGATTTAACTATATAACTATCCCACAAAAAGCCTCCAAAATTATGATTGAAAAGATGGACTTGTTTGTGGACATTTATTTAACACTTACTTTGTGCCTGGCACTATTCCAAGCACTCTGAATATACTAACTTTCAATCTTCAGACTATTCCTATAAGGTAAATGCTAGTATTCCTATTTTATAGATAAGAAAACTGAGTCACAGAGGAGTTAAATAATTTGCTCCAACTAATAAGTGACAGAGTGGGATTCATACCCGTTCAGTCTGGTTTCAGAGTCTGTGTTCTTAAGTCTATGCTGCAGATGCCACCAGATGTCCAGGGACTATATTACTCTCCCCTTCGCCGTCTGTCCATTTAAGATTTTCTTCAAATCAGCCAGGAGCGTTTAGGCATGGAGAATTCTGAGATCTCCCTGCTAACACTTCCTACCTGGAAGGACATCTTTAACTGAAGTTCTTTTTTTTTTTTTTTTAAAGATTTTATTTATTTATTTGAGAGAGAGAATGAGATAGAGCGAGCATGAGAGGGGGGAGGGTCAGAGGGAGAAGCAGACTCCCTGCTGAGCAGGGAGCCCGATGCAGGACTCGATCCAGGGACTCCAGGATCATGACCTGAGCCGAAGGCAGTCGCTTAACCAACTGAGCCACCCAGGCGCCCCTAACTGAAGTTCTTTTAATCAAGATGTTGAGTATGCTTTCCTCTTTGATTCTGATTCACTTGGAAAAGGAATCTATCATCAAGGATAAAAATGGCATTCTTGCACTGCAAGAAACCAGAGGTCTTTTGATTTTATAAATAACAAAGGGAAGGAAGATTTTCTGCTACTGCTTTAATTTGATAGTCCTGATTTTAAACATATGCCATTGCATGAATAAAAAATTTTGTTTCCCTTAGGTAGTATTCATGAGCTATCAAAAAGAAAGTGCTGAATTACATAGGTAGCTCCTTTAGAAAATAAACTGGACTTTTTGCATATTTTTAAATATATATAACCTGATTTATTTAAAGCTAAAAAAAAAAAAATGAGGCAGCTAATTCCTTAAGGCAGCAGTTCTCAAAATGTGGACCAGCAGCATAGCATCACCTGGGAACTTGTAAGAAAAGCACGTTCTCAGGCCTCACCCCAAATCAGAAACTGGGGATGAGGGCCAGCAATCAGTGGTTCACAACCATACCCCCATCAAGTGGTTCAGATGCATGCTCAAATTTGAGAACCACTGAATCAAGGTAGTATTTGAGCCTTCAAACATCACAATTCCAGGAAACCTCATAATTCCTAGCCCGACACCATAGAGCTTACAAGCTCTCACTGTTGTTGTTGTTTTTTTATTATTTACATTTCACTGAAAAGTTTTTATTGGCCTTTTGGATAGAAACGGGAATTTATTTGCCAGGAAGGATGATCCCATCATACTTCTGCTGGAACCAGCACATGGCCTCCTCTTTGCTGATTCTGTGTTTGGCCCCAGTGCAGCCTGTCCTGCGCTTCTTGTCTGCGATGCTGAAACCTGGCCTCCCCAGCACCACGTAGAAGTCCAGGCCGTAGATACCAATGCTAGGGTCATATTTGATCCCCAGATCGATGTGCTCCTGGATCCCAAAGCCAAAGTTTCCAGTATCAGAGAAGTTATTTTTTCTTAAGTCATACTCTCGCACCTTTAGACCTTTTTCCAGGATTTCTTCTGCCTTGGCCCCACGGACTGTGCAGCGGACACAATCTTTTCATTTCTCCTGATACCAAAGGACCTAACCGTGTATCTAGCTTTGGAGAACACGGGCGTCTGGCCTGTAAGCTCTCGCCGTTTGAGGGCTCCTTGACGCACTGTCTTGGCACTGCTTCTAGAACAACACGCTGTCCTCAGCATTCAAACACAGATACATACACCATGCCTTTAAGTCTGTTGGGAAGACTTGGACAATACAGCCGGGAGCTCCTGGACTTCCAGCTTTTCACGTAAACCCGTTTGGGCAGGACCTGCCTGCCTTTGTCACGTCGCAGCACACAAAGGAACTGAAATTTGCCCAGCACTCTGGGGTAACCAGACAAGACTGATCCCAGCTGGAGGAGGCCCTCCTGGGCACCTCCAAGGCCTGATGCAGCATAGTGCGTGCACGGAATGGCTCCAGCTTATGCCTTCATGTAACACAATCCCACCTGTTCTCCTGTCCTACAGGAAAAATACAGTCATTTAATGTCCTGGGTGATAGACTTCTGTTTTGTTTTGTTTTGCTTAAGATTTTATTTATTTATTCGACAGAGAGAGATAGCGAGAGAGGGAACACAAGCAGGGGGAGTGGGAGAGGAAGAAGCAGGCTTCCCGCTGAGCAGGGAGCCCGATGTGGGGCTCGATCCCAGGACCCTGGGACCATGACCTGAGCCGAAGGCAGACGCTTAACGACTGAGCCACCCAGGCGCCCCTGGATGATAGACTTCTGTCCATAAATGTGCTAGAAAGGCCCAACATAATTCTTCTACACTCTTTTTCTTAGAACTGTCAAAGTCTAACTCCCTCACTTCAACAACTATTGTATATATCTTTTATATGCCCCATGAAATCTAGCACAGTAGTACACACAGAATATGTTTTTAAAAACTTGCATTATCAATAATATTGTAATAACTTTGTATGGTGACAGATTGGAACTACACTTACTACGGTGAGCATCTCAGAAAGTATAGAACTGTCAGATCACTATGTTGTACACCCAAAACCACCTATCTTCAGTTCACCTATCACCTATACTTCAGTTAAAAATAATACATACATGTTAGAAATTTTAAAAGAGGGGCGCCTGGGTGGCTCAGTTGGTTAAGCAACTGCCTTCAGCTCAGGTCATGATCCTGGAGTCCCGGGATCGAGTCCCGCATCGGGCTCCCTGCTCAGCGGGGAGTCTGCTTCTCCCTCTGATCCTCCCTCTCTCAAGCTCTCTGTCTCCCATTCTCTCTCTCAGATAAATAAATAAAATCTTAAAAAAAAAAAAAAAAAAGAAAGAAATTTTAAAAGAGCATGCATTACCTTAAAATTCTGATCCAGATATTATTGCTTCAGCGACACTAAGAAGTCATTTCTTAATCACCATGTGTCTTTGGACAGAGTTCTAGCAATCAAAAGAAATAGATAGACCTACTTTAAAATACAAACAAAAAAGGGAAATTCAGAACCTCTTTTACTCACACATTCCATCACTGGAAGTTCTTCCTGAAATCTAACCCAATGCCACCAAGTATGTTTAAGCTTACTTTCTCCTGATTTATCCTTGAAAAGGAAGGGGGGAGGAAGATGAGCAGCTCATGAATACTCTACGTAACAACATGAGCTAGTTATGATGATGTCCTGGTGTCATTGGATTGTAGACACTATTAAAGTTTCCACTATGGTTGCTATAGAAACTGTGAAGCGTGGTTCAGGCATAAAGCCTCTCAGAGAAAAGGTATTTCAAAAAAGCAAGGTCTGAGCTCATCTCCTGCGAAACCTCAAAAGTCATCAAGGCTACTCCACAAAGAAAAGAATTCATCTGATACACAGTGTTACCTTTTTTGTTTTTTGCGTTGGTTTGCTTCCTTTGTATAATTTATTGGCAAGAAAGAAGCAAGAAGCAATCTGCCAGAGTTGGGAACAAGGACAATTTTATGGTTCTAGGATTCTTTGTCTTCTGTTTGGTGGTGGAAAATAAACCAGGGGTGATTGTTTGCTCTCTGCTGATGCTGGCACCCTAGAAATAAACATACTCTCTACAAAGAGAGCTTTTATTTATTTCTAAAGATTTTATTTACTTGAGAGAGAGAGCGTGCACACACACATGTGGGGGGGAGGGGCAGAGGGAGAATCTCAAGCAAACTCTTCACTGAGTGGGGCGCCCAATGCAAGGCTCCATCTCACGCCCAGGAGATCATGACCTGAGTTGAAATCAAGAGTCAGACGCTCAGCTGACTGAGCCACGCAGGTGCCCCAAGGAGTAATTCTTAACTGGTTTTTGGGGTTGTGGAGGGAAATAAAATATAAATAAATGGTTACCTGGGGAGTGAGAATTCATGAGTTCTTATTTGGTAACTCAAACTTTAAAAGTTTCCATTTTCCAGAGTGAAAGCGTCTGCCTTCGGCTCAGGTCATGATCCCAGGGTCCTGGGATCGAACCCTGCATCGGGCTCCCTGCTCAATATGGCGCCTGCTTCTCCCTCTCCTTCCACCCCTCCCCACTGCTTGTGCTCTCGCTCTCTCTCTTTCTCTCTCTCTTAAGTAAATAAATAAAATCTTAAAAAAAATAATATAAAATCAGTCATTCAAAAAAAAAACTCCTCCATAAACATAATCTTTTACTCAAAAACCTTTTAGTGGTTCAAAAGTTTATTGTGGAAGACTATTACGCCTGAAAATCAGTTTTCACACTCAACTATCATCCACACACAAAAAATCAGTCCTTCAGTCATGGAACCTACCTCATGTCCCATATGCCATTTTGACTGTGACAAGATCGATCCATTCCCACCAGCTTAGGAATCAGGAAAAAAATCACCCTCTCAAACATGAGGCAGGGGGAAAAAATGGAAAGAATAGAAAGAAGCAAATCTGGAAAGGAAGTATGTATCAAGTTCAAACAGGAAAAAATAAAAACTCAAATGTCCTCGAAGGCAGAGGGGAATCCAAATGTTATTGCACTCTTCAGTTGGAAAATTCCAATTTTAACAGCACTGTTATAAGCTACAGTTCCCCTTTTCTAGGAAGTTCAGAAATTATCCTCAGTCTTGCTATTTAAAGTATAGTTCATGGGTTAGCAGCATAGAAAGAGTCCTCAGGAGTTTTTAGGAAAGGTGGGATTGCAAGCTCCACCCTTCTGCAGCTTCACCAAATCCTCCAGGTAATTCATAATAAGCATGCTACATTTTGAGAAGCACTGATTCTAGTCCTGGAGATTTTTTCACGTCCAACGTCCTCCCAGGTGACACCAACACTGGCCATCTATCGAATGCACCTTGAGTTGCGAGGATCTAGAGAGGTCACTGGTTTTCCATCCTGGCTGCAGGGCAGAATCACCTCAGGAACTTCAAAACGACAAGATGCCCAAGTCTCTGCCACGTAGACTCTTGTTAATACCTGGGGTGGGACCTCCACATCAGTATTTTTCAAAAGCTCCCAGGTGGTTCTAATGAGCTGCCTGTGACGAGATCCATTTACCTAGACTAACCCTTCATTTTACAATAATTAAAACCCCAAACCGACACCAGAATAGGGCTTGGTGGTTTCCCTACATTACCTCATTTGGAGGTCCTCAAAATGTATCTGTAAGGCGGGGAGAGCGGATACTTTTATACTCGCTTAACAGTTGAGAAAACCGAGGGCTCAAAGTTGGCTGAGAGCTGATTCTGTTACACTAACTGCCAGAGCAGCCAACTCACTGCTGTTTCTCTGGCTGTGAATAAGAGGGAAGTTGAGGTCTAAAATTCATACACCGTCCAATATTTGCCATTGCAAGTCTATAGGTAAAGCTTGAAAGCATTGTACAGGGTAAATCATTAGCTCCAATCTCTTAATTTTAAACTGAGACCCAGAGATTTGTGTCAAATCACAAGATTTTAGCTGAAATGTGAACTCAGATCTCCATACTCCTGGTTCAGTGTGTTTCCCACTAAACTGCATTTCCCAAGTGTGATCGACAGATGCCACAGGATACGAACAGATGTTCCTCGGAAAAAGCTTATGCGCTAAGCCACCTCTATGTTAAACCAAATTAGCGTCCTTCACCTCAGGACCTCTCAGCCTTCTCTAAGCTCATGTGTCTTCTGGATCTCTGAGAGCTTTATATAATTGATGGTATTTTCTCAACTTCTTTTGACTATGGGACCATTTTATTTTTCAGTCAAGCATCTTGAGTAGCCCTATTCTAATGAGCAGACTTTGAAGAAGACTGTTAACCTTGGCTCTCTTCAGGGTTATTCTGCTTTAGTGGTTGGGAACAATTTGTTATGCCCCTGAAGGTGGAGCATCAACTACCAAAACTAAAGGGCAAGGTATCAATAGCACCATGAAGCCTCCAAAACAGCCAGTTCAAGGTTGTGAGAGTATTGCCTCACCATTGTATTCCACCTTGTCCCTTGATAGGCCGCACCTCAGACCCATTCCCACCACAGGAAAAGTCATTTTCATGTCCTTCAGCCGGATGGCTACTTTGTAATGAGCATTCCCCTGTGTCAGGTACTGTGTGAAACGCTGAATGAGGATTCTCTTGTTTAATCCCAGAAACAACCAAATAAGGTAAGGACTCTTCGTATCCCCACTTTTAAGCTTAAAAATCTGAGACTTAGGTAACATGTCCAAAGTCAGACAGTAAACAACATAACTAAGGGGTTTTGGGTTTTTGTTTTTTAAAGATTTTTTTTTTAAAGTAATCTCTACACTCAACGTGGGGCTCAAACCCACAACCCAGAGATCAAGAGTTGCACGCTCCACCCACTGAGCCAGCCAGGCGCCCCTGGAGCTAGGTTTTAAACCTAACGCTGCCCAATGCCAGATTCAGTTGTATGATTCAGAGACCACGTTGCCACTATAAATGATCTTTTTTCCATTTATCAAACTGTTTATTCCTTTTATCACAGAAAAGACCCTTTTGTTTTTAATTTTTAAGAATTGTGGGGTTTAGGGGCGCCTGGGTGGCTCAGTCGTTGGACGTCTGCCTTCGGCTCCGGTCATGATCCCAGGGTCCTGTGATCGAGCCCCACATCGGGCTCCCCGCTCCAAGGGAGGCCTGCTTCTTCCTCTCCCACTCCCCCTGCTTGTGTTCCCTCTCTCGCTGTGTCTCTCTCTGTCAAATAAATAAATAAAATCTTTATAAAAAAATGTTTAAAAAAAAGAATTGTGGGGTTTAGCAAATCTAAAATGTGCAGTGCAGGCTAGGGGATGGGAAATTCCTGCAGGAGTCAATGTTGTAGTCTTGTATCCAAAGGTAGTCTGGAGACAGAAGGAATTCTGCCTTTTCCTTTAAAGCCTTTAGCTGGTGAGCTGAGCCCACATTATAGAGGATAATTGGCTTTACTCAAAGTCTACTGACTTCAATGTTAGTCCCATCTAAAAAATACCCTCACAGCAATATCTAGACGTAGGGGTTTGACCAAACACCTGGCAACTGGAGATGACACATAAAATCAACCATCACACTGTGTGATATACAAAATCATTAAAATGTAGGTATCGTGCATCCCATAATCCAATTTCCTTATTTTTACAAATGAGGAAACAGGTCAGAGAGGATAAGCCCCTGGCTAGCACATGTGCTCACAGAAGAATGTGCACATCCAAATCCCCAGAACCCTTCAGAAGTTGCTCACTACCATCTAATAAAATTAAGTGGAAAAGTTAAATCCTTCCCAAACACCATTTATTTCTATTTTAAAGACTTGATTAGAAAAAATCAGCAAGCAGTCAGTTCATTTTATTATTTCTCTCCAGACTATTGTCCCCAACACCCTGGGTGTTAAGACGACCTTCAGAGGGCGCCTGGGTGGCTCAGTTGGTTGAGCGACTGCCTTCGGCTCAGGTCGTGATCCTGGAGTCCCGGGATCGAGTCCCACATCGGGCTCCCTGCTCAGCGGGGAGCCTGCTTCTCCCTCTGACCCTCCCCCCTCTCATGTGCTCTCTCATTCTCTCTCTCTCAAATAAATAAATAAAATCTTTAAAATTAAAAAAAAAAAAGACAACCTTCAGAGCAGATGCGGAGTCTAGAAATAGCTGACATAGTCCTCCCAGAAGGTGGACTTCTTTTATCTCAAGTCCACTCCTGTACTGCCTACCCCACCCCCTCAACTTCTCTAGTCCCACCTCTCCTGCGTGTCTCAGGCTCTCCAACCTGATGCCCCCCCTTTTTTTAAATTTAAATTCCAGTTAGTTAACATGAAGTGTTATATTAGTTTCAAGTGTACAATATAGGCTTCAACAGTTCCATACATCACCAGGTGCTCATCACAAAAAGTGCCCTCCCCATAATCTCCATCACCTATTAACCCATCCCCCCCATCCACCTCCCCTCTGGTAACCATCAGTTTGTTCTTTATAGTTAAAAGTCTGTTTCTTGGTTTGCCTCTCTCTTTTTTTCCCCTTTGCTCATTTGTTTTGTTCCTTAAATTCCACACATGAGTGAAATCATATGATATTTATCTTTCTCCAACTGACTTATTTCACCTAGCATTAAACTCTCTAGTTCTATCCACATCATTGCAAATGGCAAGATTTCATTCTTTTTTATGGCCGATTAATATTCCATTTTATATATGTATGTATACCACATCTTCTTTAACCACTCATCAATCGATGGACCCTTGGGCTGCTTCCATAATTTGGCTATTGTAGGTAATGCTGCTATAAACATCAGGGTACATGTATCCCTTTGTATTAGTATCTTTGTATTCTTTGGGTAAATACTTAGTAGTGCAATTGCTGTATTGTAGGGTAGTTCTATTTTTAACCTCCTGAGGAATCTCCCTATTGTTTTCCAGAGTGGCTGCTCCAGTTTGCATTCCCACCAACAGTGCAAGAGGGTTCCCTTTCTCCACATCCTCTCCAACACCTATTGTTTCCTGTGTTGTTGATTTTTAGCGGTTCTGACAGGTGTGAGGTGATATCTCATTGTAGTTTTGATTTGCATTTTCCAGATGATCAGTGCTGTTGAGGTTGATGCCTCCTTTTGCCTCTGGGCTTACAATCCCCTCTGAGGCTGCTATGCTCTTTCCCCAGCCCTCCCACACACACCCTTTTTGCCTAGATAAAGCCCATTCATGCTTCAAGCCTCAGCTTAGACATCTTTTCCTCAAGTAGTTCTTTGCCCCTCCCCCACGGGCCTGGTTTACCCATCCTTCCGCGTGCCCTATGGCTTGCAGTGCCAGCCCCCTGCCATTTATTACCTGCTTCTTTATCTATACCCCCACCAGTGTCTTGTTCCATGGTATCCCCACTATTAGAGTCTGTCACATAAAAGACATTCAATACATATTGATTGGGGGAAGGAAGAAAGAAGGAATTTCTGTGGGATCTGTCTTGCACGGTGAGACTTAGATCTGTCAACTCGAGACAGTCTGGGATGGAAATTGCCCAGAGAATTGTAGGGTGTAGAGCAACTCAGGCCTGCCAGGTGCTTGGGAGTCAGTCTAGTGACCTGGCATCCAATGTACTTTGCCATCTTTGGAACGTTGATAACACCAAGGGGTTATCAGTATACAGGAACACAAGGCTAAACCAGGGTGACAGACGCAGGAATGGAAAGGGACCCTTAAGAGGGGTATTTCATGGATAAATTGTACTGCATTAGTTGGGATGTGAAGGAAGAGGGTACAAGATCAGAAAGTCAGAAGAATCTGGCCTCTGGTACAAGACAATATCATCAATTCGATTCCATATTGAATTTGAGGCATTAGAAAAACATCTAACAATGTAGTTGGAAATATAAAATAAAGTCAAGAAAATCCATAGCCCTTCACAAATTTGTCATCTTTATATCAATTACTGTTATCAGAGAAGGGTCAGGACCTGTCATTAGAGCAGTGATTGCCCACATGGCATTAAGAAGATTCTCCCTTCCCTATCTATCATCATATCATGGTGCCTGGAATTTTGTAATTAAAATGGTATTTTTCAGGGGTACCTGATTGACTCAGTCCGTGGAGCATGCGACTCTTGATCTCAGAGTCATGACTTCAAGCCTCACCTTGGGCATAGAGGTTACTTAATTTTAAAAAAATTTAATATATCATCAAATACATATTGCATGCATATATTATATCTGTGGAAGGAAAAATAAGAAATGGTGGTAACTGGTTACCTCCAGAAAAGGGAGACTGAGAGCTTGGAGGTCAGAGGTGGGAGGGAGACCTATCTTTTACCATTTCCACTTTTATAGCCATTGAAGCTTTTTATCATGTACATAGATGTTTAATCTAGAGAAGAAAAATTTGGGCGCCTGGGTGGCTCAGTTGGTTAAGTGACTGCCTTCAGCTCAGGTCATGATCCCAGGGTCCTGGGATCGAGTCCCACATCGCGCTCCCTGCTCTACAGGGAGCCTGCTTCTCCCTCTCCCACTCCCCCTGCTTGTGTTCCCTCTCTCGCTGTGTCTCTCTCTGTCAAATAAATAAATAAAATCTTAAAAAAAAAAAAAGAAAAGAAAAATTTACTTTTATTTTTAAAAGTTGGAATTTGT